ATGCGGAGGCTGGGTGATAGACACTGGGGAGTGTATGTGCTATGGTGAGCACTGTGAATTGTGCAAGACTGTTGAATCTCAGATCTGTACCTCTGAAACAAATAATACATTATATGTTTAAAAAAAAAAGAAGATAGCAGGAGGGGAAGAATGAAGGGGGAGACGAACCATGAGAGACTATGGACCCTGAGAAACAAACTGAGGGTTTTAGTGGGGGGATGGGTGAGCCTAGTGATGGGTATTAAGGACGGCACGTTCTGCATGGAGCACTGGGTGTTATATACAAACAATGAATCATGAACACTACATCAAAAACTAATGATGTAATGTATGGTGATTAACATAGCATAATAAAAACTAATGATGTAATGTATGGTGAGTAACATAACATAATAATAAAAAAATAAATAAAAATAATAATAAAATAAAATAAAATCCTGTGCAATCCCATAGGATGCAATGAGAAGAAAAAAAAATTCATAATCGCAACATCCTGAACAGTAGCAGCAACCAATAATGGGTTAGCCTGGTGATGGGTATTAAAGAGGGCACGTACTGCATGGAGCACTGGGTGTTATATGCGAACAATGAATCATGAATCACTACATCAAAAACGAATGATGTAATGCATGGTGATTAACATAATAAAAAAATAAATCTAATTAAAAAAATAATTTGTTTTATTACAGGCATCTGAAGAGTATTTTGAGCTTTTCAAAGCACTTTGATGTACATGATCACATATGCAGCACATGCCTGTATCTCAGGAAGGATGGCAAATGATTAAACTGAGCAAAAGAACAAAATGAACAAAATGATAAATGAAAAAAAAAAAAAAAAACGAATGAATGGGGCATCTCCAGGGAATAGCATGACGAAAGAAAATGAGACTGCATTCACTGGTACTAAGAAGTCCCTTCGATTCTACAATGCAGGTTCCATCAGGTGGTTCTCAGGGAAGATGAAGAGGTAGCCTGCTGGTCTCTCCTAGGCTCCATGTTTCCGATGCCGTCACTTGCTGGGCATTTTTACCCCAAAAATAACATCTTCAAACCTGAACACACTCCCTTGCCCCGAACCCAGCTATTGTTTTCCATCCCAGAAAGCAGTTCCACCACTCATCTCTCAGCCATCCAAACCAAAAGCCTAGGAGTATCGTCTTTGGCCCTCTTCTCTCACCCCCACATGCCCTATCTGATAGTCTGTCCAAGTTCTGGCTTAACTGGCTAAAAGTCTCGTTCTGAACTCCACAGACTATTGGGCTAGGATGCTGCTGTGTCGACAAACTCTTGACCATCTCCACTCTTAAAGGTGAAACCCCACTCCTGATGCACCAAGGACATACCTAGCCAGTGGCCTGTCGGACCTAGAAGAACCAGAATACATCCCCATCTGCCCTTGCTGAACTGGCCCCCTGGTATCTTCCTGAGCTATACCTGGGCACTTGTAGCCTGAGCTCCTGCTTTAAGCCTCTGCCACCAGGGCCCCGCACAGAGTCTGGCCCAGGGAAGGGGCTCCAGAGATGTTTGACGGGAAGGTCTACGGCTGCAGTGGACTAGACCATGAGGCTGGTCTCCATAATTGCCAGGCTCCCTACTACCCAAGCCCATGCTCCAGAGGACGCATGGAGAGTAGACTCCAGCAAACCATGTGATGGGGAGCTCCCTGGGCCAAGAGACTTAGTGCTAAACACTGAATTGATCTGTGACCTTGGTCTGATGATTCTGAGCCTCAGTCTTCCTCCTGTCCACCTCTCGGAGCTGCCTTAAGGATCAACATAATGGGCACACCCCCAAAGTGGCATGCTGGTGTGGCACGGTTCTTCAATGTGGGTGTGCCTCAGCATCACTCAGAGGGCTCCTTCAAGGACAGATTTCTGGGCTCCACCCCCAGAATTTCTGACTCATTCGGTCAGGGCATGGGGCCTAAGAATTTGCATTTCTAATGCGTCCCCCAGTGATGCTGATGCTGCTGGTCCAGGGACTACGTTTTGAGAACCAGTGCTCCAGACCACTTTAAGAGCACTGCTTTTCCACAGCAACCTGGCCTTTCTCCAGGAAGCATGCTATTTCAATATTCGGCTTTATGTTTATGTTTTACCCTTTTTGCTGTTTTGCTGGAATCTTAACGGAGTCTGTAAATTCCTCTGGGCAGAAATTACACCTTCCACATTCCACATTCTCTCATATTCTGTTTTGCAAAATAATGAGTACATTTCCAGTGTGATTGATAATAGAAAAAGGAATGGGGGGGGGTACTCAGAGAGTACCAACCCCAATAAACAGCATCCACAAATGGATACCAGCCCTGAAATCCACTTAAAAATTAATTATGAGGCAAAGAACATTCTACCATCAGAGGCAATGTGGGAGAGAAGATTATGTTCTTGATGACACATTTTGTAAAATGTGGGTTATTTAAGATTTTAGCTGTAACTTACTTAAACACCAACATTTTTTGAAATATAAAACCACAAACAGCATTTCAACTCATAATTTTTATAGTGATAGTCAGACAATTGTGTTTTCCACATGTAAAATCCATTACACAGTCATGGCAACAGTTTGCAATAGATTGTAAATTTTTATTGAGATGATCATCTTGTGATTGAATTTCAAAAATGTATTATATGATCATCAGCAAATAAGTCCATGGGGGCTGCTAAAGTACTTTGAGTATCATTTATAAAGATCAAAAACCCTGGAAACTCTTAGATTTACCCCGTGGAAAGAGAAAAGTCTCATCGGCAGGATCAAATCAATTACTTTTATGGATGAATATTGAATTGCAAAGCTGAGATAAGGTATTACCTTGTTTAATAACATAATCTTATGTCCTAAAATAGGTTTCATAATCGGGTTTCAATAAGTAATTTTACAAAAGGCCCGCTTTTGAAAATAATCAAGAAAATGGCATTTCCATTTATCACAGTGGTTCGATGACGTTCAAGAGAATATTCCCAAGCAATGGACATCCTCACTAACCTTGGGTTCCATACTGTCGAGATGCACTACTGAGGTACTTCAGAATGATTACCGTCAATTCTGCTATAGCTCTTGTTTTGACAACGCGAATGTTGTTCCAACGTGATTGACATATTAGGGGACAATTTGAGCATAACACGAATGTCACACTTGCTATGTGTGATTCTGTGTGGAAAACACTACTGAAGCAGAAAACTCCACCCAGCTCAACGGAGCCACACAGGAATACACAGAACGTACCCACCTCAAACATCCACTTGCTACGCCCATTGGCTGGACGTGCTAAGAGCCACATCCATCCACAGCGGATGTCACGACTTTCCACCATGTTCAGAAAGCACTCTTCACCACCACTGTTGCCCACAGGTTGCAACCTTTCTGACACACACTTCCAAAGCAAACTTCAGGTCCCTTCAAGGAAACACCTCATATACACTGCAGTATGTATGCATATCCTACACCATTAACATGCGGGACACTGTGCCATCACTTTTACTTACTTCCCTCTCTTTTTAAATGTGTCACTGATGAAGTAGTACTTCAGTACTTTTTCCCGTTACTCTGATGGTTTTTACTGTATAACTTTCCATATTGCAGTGATTTTTAGGGACACATAGGTCACATTATAGTAGAGCTAACTGTATTTTGCTGTGCTTTCTTGTTCTATGAGGTCACTGTGCTAATGGGTCCTTTTCTCCCCACCCAGAAGCCATCAGTGACTCTTTTCCCAGTGGAAGCCAATGGCCCATGCTGCCACGTCCCTTGCCCACCAGTGGAAGCTCTGTATTCCATGCTGATGGCGCACACCCCTCTGTTTGCACTGTGGTGTGACCGATCATCAATGGCATTAGGGTCAGAAAAACCTGAATGCAAATTCTGACTGTGCCAGTGGTCAATTCTACCCCTTTGTACAAAAAGTCTTAAAATATTGGGTCTCTATTTCTTCATGTATATATGAGATAAAAGTACTTACATCAAATGGTTAGAGGAGAAAAATGAGAAAATATAAATAATGGGATATAAAGGAAAACAAAACAAGACAAAGCAAAACACTGAGTTCTTTTAACTTCTTGAGTTCCATTCAGAGCTGGAACATATCAGGGATACAGTCAGAGATACAATCCTAGCCAATGCTCCTCCAGAAGCCTGGAGTCCCCAGAAATATTTATGCAGTTGGATCAAAAGAATCTTCTTAGACACAGTCCCAGACACCAAACTCTTAAGCGGCATCCAAAAACCTCAGAGAAAGTGCTGGAGTCACTAGCCCCCAGAGTGCACTGAGCCAGGAGCTTGCAGAGATACAGAATCCAGACAACCCCTGGAGGGACAGGTTGGAACTAGGAGGCTCCGAGGGATACAGAGCCAGAAAGTTCTTAGAGATTAAAGCAGTTCCAGAATCCACTGAAAGACACTTTCAGAGCCAGGAGGTACTCAAGATATGGTTGGCACCAGGAACCCTTCCGAGACAGAAGGAGGAACCCTCAGGGAAACTATGAAAACCAAGGGCTCATTAGGGTCATAGGCCCAGCCATGGATCCTCACAGACAAAGTTAAAATCACAAACACCTTAGATATATAACAAGAATCAGAAGGACTCAGGGATATAGTTCAAACAAGGCCTTTAACAAGGCACACAGGGCCAGGAGCCCTCAGGGACCTAAGACCAAGAACCCTCAGGGACACTTTTAGTACTAGGAAGCCTCAGACATACGGAGACACCAGAAGTCCTTGCAGAGACAGAACCAATGTCCCACTGGAAACACTGTCAGGACCAGGAATGTCTCCCTGACATAGCTGGAGTCAGGTGGCTTTACGAACCACAGTCAAAGCCAGGCCATCTCCAGAGTTACTGCCAGACCCTGAAAGTCCTCTAAGGCAAGACCAAAACCCTGACTATTGCTCTCTACAACAGGACGCACACTCCCATCAGAGAAGTTTCAGGATGATTGTCACTGATGCCAGGAGGAGGATCAACTGCCCAACCTCTCAAAATGGAGCTATAAACGAAGTTCTTACCTGCACATTTGGTTCTGGTGGTGAGGGGAGGCCCTGGTGGTCCCGTGCCTCCCTCCCCTGGTCGTGTGAGCAGCACCCGGATCTCATACTCCACGTCAGGGTCCAGATGCCACAGCTTATAGTTGGGAGAGTCAACTATGTGGGTCTCGGCCCAAGTGCCCGTGGTGGTGCGATATTCCACCTCCTTCAGGATGATGGGGCCATCGCCGATGATAGAATTGGCATTTGGTTTGATCCACAGGTATGTGGCCCCTACGGCCAGCAGCTCTGGGGGGGCGATGGGTGTGGGAGGCTCTGGAAGACAAGGAATCAGCAAAGGATGTCAGACCCAAGCGGTTTAGAGAGAAGAATCGAAGCATGTAAAGACGAGGACAGAATTCCAGAGAGAGCTATATACAGTCGCTCAGATCCCTTTCTTAACTCCATTCACGTCCTACTCAAATTGCCATGATTTTGTATGTGAATACCTGAGTCAGTATTCCTTCTCCCACACTACCATATCTCCTTCATTTAAAGGAAATGAACAATGGATCATGGACCACCACATCAAAAACCAATGATGTATTGTATGGTGACTAACATAACACAGTAAAATTTAAAAAAATAAATAAAGGAAATGAAGAAAGAAGGCAACAGTGGGTAAATGGATTTTCTAGAACACAGCAAAGATGCCTAGATTAATATTCTGTTTTCTATCCTCAAATGAGAACATGCTTTACTAAAGTGGAGTTTGGTTCAAAGCCCAGGGGAGTCTGAGATTTACAAACATTTCTTTCATAGCAACACAGAGGTTGTCAGTGGAAGTTCTCCCCAAATAGTGCTAGGAGCCTAAGAAGCAAAAGGATGATGGCACGGCAAAAATTCAGCTTCCTCCTCAACTCCAGTGGGTTCCCTCCATCAGGGCGAGTGTCACTGGCACAGTGGCCCCTGTGGGAATCAAGAGTCAAGGGAAAAGTCATGCAGAGTTATCCTGCATCCGCTATGAGTTGCCCCTCTCCCATTAAGTTCTACTTCTTCAGCTAAATAAATGAGAATTTCAACAGGCCCTCACAGTGGGTCTTACTGGCAATTCTTAGCCCTCTGGCAAAGCTGCAGAAATTAACATTAACTTTGTATTCCTTATTTACCAAGAAATCTCATATGCATTACTTTGTGCAAATCTTCCACCTCCATTTTGATGGATAAAAACAAAGAACCCAAGCAATGGGGTCACCTAACGGAGATCATGAAGCTTACAGGTAAGGCAGGATGGAACCCACATCTCTATGCCTTCCCTTACCAGCTATTCCCTTGGAAAGCTGTTTGCCTCTAGATGTCCATTTTCTAAAAATCAAAGTGTATGTATTTGCTATTTTTGTCTGTAGCAGAAAATAGCAGTGGAACAATAAAGAAAATAAGAACAAAAAGAAAATAAGTCCCCTTCCCTATGACCCAATATAATAGCCATTTTTATTTCTCCATGTTCCAATTTGTATTCATATATTTAAGCCTTTTTCATACAGCTACAGCAACACATAGACCCAATGTTTTTCTTCCCTCACTTACTACATTCTAAAGACTGTTCACAACATGGATTTTGTCGTCACTGTCTTAGATAGCTACAGAACCATCTATCAGGTAACCCCACTAACTAATCTCAAATGGCTGGGCACATGAGTTCCAAGTTTTGCTATGGTAAATAATGCTGCAGTGAACAGCTCTGTGCCAATGACTCCAGTTTTCCTTGTCTTACGGTTTTTTTTTTGGAACCAACTGCCAGAAATGGGATCTGTCAATGGATATGAACAAGTTAGTGACTCTTGGGGTAGAATTAGGAAGTGGAGGGTGAGAGGAGGCATCTGGGGGTGGAGTACAACATAGATATGTTCGAGAACTTTTGGAGGGCCTCTGGGCTATTCAGGTGGGTGAGGCAGGTACAGGTTTCAGTCTGAAACTCAGGTGAGAGCTTCAGGATAGATTAGACTCCTTCCATGTTTGCTCTTTAACTAATTACCTAGCCACAAAGATTCTCCAGAGACAGAATAATTGCTATGAAACAGAGGTGGACAATATTTTCTCAGTGTGACTTGAAGCAAATCTTAAGGGACAACTTCAGATTGCCTCTATTATAGCCTGCCATTTGGTCAGAGAAGGAAATTAAGCAGATTAGTCAGGCTAGATGCTTTTCTTTACAAAGCCATGAAGGTTATTACTCAAGGCCTTGTTATCTCAAAGGTGTTTACAAATTGATTTTTGGATAATTTGTTCCAGGTAGAGAAGTTAAGTTGGCAGGCAGATAATTTCTGGGCTCATCCTTTGTGCATTTTATTTTTTTTTATTTTTTTTTAAAGATTTTATTTATTTATTTGAGAGAGAGAGAATGAGAGAAAGAGAGAGAACATGAGAGGGGGGAGGGTCAGAGGACGAAGCAGACTCCCTGCCGAGCAGGGAGCCCGATGCGGGACTCGATCCAGGGACTCCAGGATCATGACCTGAGCCGAAGACAGTCGCTTAACCAACTGAGCCACCCAGGCGCCCCCCTTTGTGCATTTTAAATATACAGACCCTTGTATCACCATTGTCAACTCTCCAGAGTTCCCGTCAGTTTCCAGGGAGGCCCCCAGGGTGGTATATGGTAGCTCTGTGACGACTCTGCCCAACTCCTTAATGTAATTATTCACAGGCTGGCCCTGGACAGAATTAAGTGCAGCAGACTTCAATACTTTGGGGCTTGAGCAAGTGGCCACATTAAGCTCTCTCCCATAGAATTTACACCACGATTTTTGCTCTATTTCAGGCATTAGCAGTAAATTGCTGACCACCAGAAAGAAAATAAAGTATCACTCTTTCCAAATGTTCAGTCTCCTTTCACGAATTTCCGATGGTAGGTACAATATAGTAACAACATTCCCTCGAGTAAATAAATGTCTCCATCTCAAATGACTTAGTAGTTCACATGTCCCTGTGCAGACTAGCCAATGAGGTTCTCTCTCCCTCTGTCCCCTCAAGAATATATCATGAAGTACATCAAAGCACTTCAAGCTACTTGGTTCTAAGCAGCCATCAGATTATTGTTTTGTTTTCTCTTTTGTTAGTAACCACTGATTTATAATTGGTATTCTTTTAGAAGTCACACGTCCGAGTGATTCAAAGAGAGAAAAGTAGGGATGAGACACATTATTATATTATATTTATATATTTATACTATTATATATATTTATTATATATAATATGTTTATATATTATTATATTTATATATTATATATATATATTTTTTTTTGGTAAGCACCTCCCTTTTTTAAGTGAAAAGAAAGACCATGTTTGTCAGTTCTCCTCTTTGACATGAACTGTTCAACCAGACAGTGCAAGAAATCGAGGAGGCCATCTAATCCAACAGCCAGAGTCTTCAGGAAGGAAACCAAGGCTGGGGAGGGCTCATGGCCTGTTAAGTAGAAGAAGGTGGGGGTGGGGCATCAGAACTCAGGGCCCAAGCAGCATTCTTGCTCCTTCCTTCTTCTTCTTGTACATCAGATGTTTAAGTAATTAGCCAGAAAGGTCACTAAGGGGTGTCTTTCCTAGTAGTTTTTAACTTTTGAGGATGCATAGGCCCTTGCAAAGATCTGATGAGAAATCCCAGCCTCTCTTCCCAGGAAAATGCACATAAGTCTATTACTGAGAGTTACGCCCACCATTTCAGGCATTCACGAACCCTTCTGAAGCCTATGCATGAACCGCTGAAGAGACTATGTTGAGAATAAAGGAAAAACACAGAGATCCTGCTGACAGACCACATGCCCATAATAGTCTACAATTCTTTGGGACCCCGAAACCATCCTTTGTTGCAGTCCATGGCAGGGGCTAGAAGTTGGGAGTACAATCATGTAAGGAAATGGAACTTGATGTTAGGTTCACAGATCTAGTGCTTGCAGGCTCCCAGGGTCCCAAATATCTGGGTGAAAATAAACATGCAAAGATTTCCATAGGACAATGCAAAGTAAATGTGTAGGTCCTCATGGCCATAACCCACCCAACACATTCATAAATTTCACATTTGGGCTAAAATATTTAATGGTTAAACATATGACCCTACCGGCAAAAATGAACTATTGGGACTTCATCAAGATAAAAAGCTTTTGCACAGCAAAAGAAACAGTCAACAAAACCAAAAGACAACTGACAGAATGGGAGAAGATATTTGCAAATGACATATCACATAAAGGGCTAGTATCCAAAATCCATAAAGAACTTTTTAAACTCAACACCCAAAGAACAAAGAATCCAATCAAGAAATGGGCAGAAGACATGAACATTTTTCCAAAGAAGACATCCAAATGGCCAACAGACACATGAAAAAGTACTCAACATCGCTCATCCAAATCAAAACCTCAATGAGATACCACCTCACACCAGTCAGAATGGCTAAAATTAACAAGTCAGGAAATGACAGATGTTGGCAGGGATGCGGAGAAAGGGGAACCCTCCTACACTGTTGGTGGGAATGCAAGCTGGTGCAGCCACTCTGGAAAACAGTATAGAGGTTCCTCAAAAAGTTAAAAATAGAGCTACCCTACGACCCAGTAATTGCACTACTGGGTATTTACCCCAAACATACAAATGTAGGGATCTGAAGGGGTATGTTCACCCCGACGTTTACAGCAGCAATGTCCACAATAGCCAAACTATGGAAAGAGCCAAGATGTCCATCGACAGATGAATGGATAAAGAAGATGTGGTATATATATACAATGGATTATGCAGCCATCAAAAGGAATGAGATCTTGCCATTTGCAATGACGTGGATGAAACTGGAGGGTATTATGCTGAGCAAAATCAGTCAATCAGAGAAAGACATGTATCATATGACCTCACTGATATGAGGAATTCTTAATCTCAGGAAATAAACTGAGGGTTGCTGGAGTGGTGGGGGGTGGGAGGGATGGGGTGGCTGGATGATAGACATTGGGGAGGGTATATGCTATGGTGAGCGCTGTGAATTATGCAAGACTGTTGAATCACAAATCTGTACCTCTGAAACAAATAATATACTATATGTTAAAAAAAAAAAGAAGAAGAAGAAGAAAGCAGGAAGGGAAGAATGAAGGGTGGGAAATCGAAGATGGAGACAAACCATGAGAGACTATGGACTCTGAGAAACAAACTGAGGGTTCTAGAGGGGAGGGGCGTGGGGGGATGGGTTAGCCTGGTGATGGGTATTAAGGAGGGCACGTACTGCATGGAGCACTGGGTGTGATATGCAAACAATGAATCATGGAACACTACATCAGAAACTAATGATGTAATGTATGGTGATTAAC